GCGTATTTCTGAATTTGCTGGGGCGAGGGTTCCGCGACGCGGTCGCCAAGGCCGTGTCTTTTCAGTCACGACCGTTGTCGTCCTCGTCTCTCCATTCGCGGTGGTGTAGCTGACCCCCGAATGGTTTCAAACTGCGAAGCTTGGAGGAGTACAGTGGTGGCAGAGGCATGAGCTGTGAGTGGAGACGGTAGCTGGAGATGGATGGTGATGCAGGGAGAAGAGTTACGCTGCCTGACGCCGCGTGGGAAATTGTTTGAACCTGCAATTTCAGTTCGAGCGCGGTGGACTTCTAGACGATGTGTCCTCATGGCTGTTTTTCAACACTTGGCCTATCGCTGATATCCCTGCGTGGGATGTTCTTCCAGTGGAGTCCAGGCGGGACTTCGGGTGCCCACACTCCATCACCTGGTTGATTGTTTCGGAACTGCAAAAATAATTATTGTGTCCTATTTTGTGCGCATCTCTTGTCATCTCTCTTTTCTATACGTCGCACACCAGATGTACTACTATCGCCGTCTTTCTCTTGCTTTCTCTCCCTGCTTGCTGTTTTTTGTTTCTGTTGCCACTGTCCCTCATCATACCCATGCTTGGGTGGTGGGCGGCGTGACCCGTTAGGGTAGCTGCCAATACAGTACGACTCCCTGATGTATAGAGAGACTTTCTGGAAAGAAATAGGGAGACGAGGAGGAAATGAAATTAGAATGGATGTTAGTTGCCGAATAGGTGATACGATGCGTCAGCAAAAACATGCTTTGGAAGAGAGATCCCGTCGTCTCCAAAATAGGCGTGAACGGGCGAGTCAGCGCCGGTCACAGGAAACGTCGGCAGAGAGATCCCGTCGACTCCAGAACGCGCGTGCTCGGCAGAGTCAGCGCCGTCCCAGGAAACATTTCCATCAGTTCCCACAACATGCACGATGAGCTAAGTAACAAAGCATAGCGTAGGGCCCTGAGCTTCGAAGCTCTCTCGTTCATGTTTGTTTGTTCGTTCGTTTGTTTGTGCCATCGGCATGCCTGGCGCTATTCCGTACCTGTCCCGTACCGTACCATCAAGGTGTGTGTCTGTTTGTTTGTACCATCGGCATGCCTGGCGCTATCCCGTACCTGTCCCGTACGGTACCATGAAAGACACCTGGGCATGACCACAAAATTCAAATAATTATGCCTTTCAAATTCAAGATCGTAACGTGAAACAAATGAATATGTATGCGAAGTGTATCGGGGTAGGCATGGGCGGGAAATGCTACTTCCCATAGCTTTGCAGAAGACGTTACTTCAGTAACGTCTGGCGCTAGCCAGGGTCCACACAGCTTTAATTTGGTGTTTGTGTGTTTGTTTCCTTGTGTCACGCCTGGCGCTATCCGTATCTGACGGCAAAAAAGCATAAGATGTTATAATTTTTCAATTCTCCTATTTTTTAAGGCATATCCTGGGATTCGAACCCGCACTATCGCCCTACATGCATTCCCCCATACACTTCGCATTCATACTCATTCTTCCAAGTTGCTTCACGTTATGATCTTGCGTTTGAAAGCCCTATTTGAATATTGCAGACAGCTGTATGTGGCCAGCTGTGTTTGATGGTACGGTACGGTACGGGAGACGGTGTCGTATTAACTTCGATCATACCTGTCCCGTACCTATCCCCTACCGTACCGTGCCATCAAAGACGGCTGGCCACAATGCATATTCAAATAGGGCTTTCAAATGCAAGATCACAATGTGAAACAACTTGGAAGAATTAGTATGTATGCGAAGTGTGTCGGGGGATGCATGCATGGCGCGCGATAGTGCGGGTTCGAATCTCAGGTTATGTCATAAAAAGGATTTTTTTAAAGAATTTATAACATCCCTATGCTTTTTTTGTCTAGGTCATCAAGGCAAAAAAGCATAGCGTAGGGCCCTGAGCTTCCAGGCTCTCTCGGTATTTGCTGAGATAATGCTAAAGGCAATGCTCAAAATATGGTGATATAATGCCACTTATAATTTATTTGTTTTCATGTATAATAAATAAGCTTGTTCCTAAACGTTTTCGTCGCCATCTCATCAGAGGATTACTGGCAAATCAACAAAAGCTCTTAACTCAATATATATACGCACAATGCAAGTAATAATGTAGACCCTAACTAGCGCGATAAAATGAGAGCTGAAAGAAACATTACACCATTCAACGATATCAGGTGACAACAAATGCGATAAATTCACCACTAGAAAGTTACCAAGCAACCACAAACGAGAACTACTGATCTAAATTCACAAACAATTTCAACGTAAACAAATTCTTTTTCTGCCTACACAAAATCGGCCTGGTGGTAAAAATGTAAATAGACTCCAATACACGCAAATACCTTTGACTACGTGAACGAGACCAAACAGAAAAGCAATCATCAGCATAACTAGAACGACAATCACTATTCTGAACAAGATGGTTGGCGATAGAAGATTCATACACCCTAACAACGCTACTAGAACCAGTACATACTTTGGAATTACGTGACAATGAAACCGACCTGACATTCCTTGCCGCTACTGCCAATCCAGACGAGGCCGATGTAGATGTCCGTACCAAAGGCACGTCCGTTGCTGGCACTGCCTGCTGCGATGATGCTCCCTTTGACGTTCCAATGGCTGTTGATGTTGATGAAGAGGAGGAGGGAGATGAGGAAGACGCTGACGACGACGATGACGACAACGACGGAGACGATAAAGACTCTGCTAACCTCGCCCTAGAGCGAGTCACTGGTCCCGCAGACACACCATCCGGTGGTTTCTTCAGTGGCCGGCCACGCTTTTTGCCACCGGAGGTGGACACACCGGATGACGGTACAGAGGAAGTCAAAGAAGACGAAACCACAGATACCAACGATGATGACGGGATAGAAGGAAGAGACGGTAAAGACGAAGGCAATGACGAACAAGCCGATGCCGACGAAGAAGACAACGACACCCCAGTTGGTTCCGTCCCCAGCGACGGTGCACCTCCAGTCGCAGTACCAATCTTTGGGGGACGACCTCGTCTAGGCCTTGACGACCGTGCCTCAACAGGCATAACGTGAAGAGGCACATGCTGGTGGATCCGTGCCTCCAGGTGCTGAAGGGTCCTACCCACATACCGGCTCTCACATTGCCGGCACTCGAAGTTGTAAATAAGATGTGATAATTTAAGAGTGGGTAGGACATCCTTCTTCGCCATGAAGGCACGAGCTGTTGTGTAGACGAACCGGACACTAACCTTACGAAAGTTCGATTCTGCAGCTGACTTAACTCGACGTTGCATGGTACGGCAAACAGCTTCACCCTTCCAAGGCAAACGAAGATACACCGGAGTGGCCTCGGAGGACACTTCCTTCGCTCCACCCAGTGTACTAACTACGACATATTTAGATATCACATATTCCGGGTACCCGTTTAAACGAAACAAAGTGCGTAGCCGCTCCAGCTCCTCATCCAACTTTGAAGGCGAACATAATCGACGAGCACGATCCACTAGATTACGAACGAGATTAATTTTGTACGACCTCGCAGTAAACGAGTCCCAAACAATGTACAAGCCGGTGAACGTTGGTTTCCGGTACACTGATGTAATTACACCACCCATACCAGACTTCTCTACAAGAACGTCCAAGAAGGACAATTTACTAGCCGATTCAAACTCACAAGTAAACTTCAGTGACGGGTGCAGCTTATTCAATAATTCAAGAAACTCCTGCGCGTCGCTCCAAGTCTGAAAGTAGGACCAACTATCGTCAACAAAACGACAATACACCGCAGGCCATTTACATTTGGGGACCAATGATTCGCAATAACCCACAAATATATTTGCAAGAACTGGACCCAACGGTGAACCCATCGCGACACCATCTATCTGACGATACATAACATTCTCAAACGAAAATTCAACGCCAGACGTAACCATATTCATAAGACGGCGAAAGTACGTCTCTTCGATAGTAACAGGAGAACCTACATTACCACGGTACATAGCATCACAGCAAATATCAATCGTAAAATCCAAAGGTACGTTCGTGAAAAGACTCACAACATCAAACGAGCACATAAAGAATGTCTCCGGGAATTCGTGATCATGCAAAAAGTCGGCAAACTCAAAACTATCCTTGACTACATATGTACTGTACATGTCGAGAACAGGCTGTAACAAACGACAAATCCACCTCGACACTTTGTACTGCGGTGAACCACACATGGACAAGATCGGACGAACTGGACAACCAGCCTTGTGAATTTTGGGTAAGCCATACATACGCGGTCGCGCAGAACCAATTGGACTAAATGAATCCGACTCAGTCTGCGTGATCTGCTTCAGCAATACTAACTCTTTAAAATAGTTGCATAATTGTTCCTCTATTTTAGCCGTTTTATCATGTGTCTCAATAGGCCCAATGACAGTAAACTTCGAACTATCGTTCAGGATGGTATGTGTCTTCGTGATGTAGTCATGCTTGTTCATAATGACGGTAGCCCTTCCTTTGTCAGGTTTGGTTATTACAATGTTGTTGTTACTCCGCAATTCTTTCCGTACTCCGTACTCCAGCATTATGCCACCTGGAAAAAAGGGACTATAATGCCAGCGAAAATGCAGGCATTACCAGCCCATGCCTACTCCCAGCCCTGACAGAATACGTTACTGTAATTATGATTTGAAAATCAGTAACTCTTCTGTCGCTTCCCGATTTGAACAATTGCGTTCCCGTTCCTGGGCTTCCCGCGGAATGTGAACTAGGGTTCATGCAAGCAATACCGGACTGTACGTTGTTTCCTTTATCGTACCTATCGTACGGCAGTCGCATCTTCGCTGCTGATATGATGATGAGCATGGATTTTTCTAGTGTGTACCGCAGGGTACTAGGGTTGCAAAAATCCCGTACAGTCAACATGCGTACACTCAAATTCACCTGTGCGTATACGATACCGTAGCAGCTGGTTAGCCTTGTTAACCCGTGATTTATGTCTCTTTCTTGACGAGATTTTTGCGATCTAGGATCTAGTCTTGAAACAGTTGTGCATGCGAGGTCCGTTCTGCCCATTTCATAGCGAAATCCTCTTTTGTTCCCACGAAGGACGAGGCTAGCAATCCTCATTTTGTCAGCATAGAGGTAGACACGAGCCAAACCTGCTCGACTTAGTGGAGAATGGCAGCGGATGCCGAGTTCACGATTTCCGTCGGTGCCAATTTCCGCCAGGCCTCTTTCGATTGCATTACGCTCAAGATCGGCGAAGAAGTGAAGATCATTTCGGACATAGAGTCCGGCTTGTATGGCAGTGTGGCAAAGGGAAAGCATATTCCGACCGGTTGCCCAGTAAGTCTGGTCTTGCAGTCTTTATTTGTTTATTTATTTATTTATTTACGGATTCTCCAGAGGTAAATGGATACCTATCATGGGAGTCTCACCAAACCAATAAAATAATGAAAATAAAATTATGTTTGGAGCGCAAAAAAACTCAAAATCTGAGATTTTTCACTTAAATGAGAGGAAGAACAATAGATTGAGAACCAGGGGTGCTAATAGAACACTGGAAAGGCACTTAAACAAAATAACTGCAGTAGCAGATTTCAGTCCGTGACGCGCTGTTTTCTTGAATAATCTTTATTAAAGGATCTCCCAGAGGCGAAGGCCTGTCGAGGGGATCTCCTGATGCAAATCATGCAATAGAAATAAACAGTGAGGAAAACCACACGTGTTAAAGTATAATGCTTATGCTACATAATGAGCAATAAAAACAGGGCTGGGTTGTTCAAAATACAACAATTAGTTTAAATGTCCAGGGATATACCACTACAGTCAAGTTTATAACATTTCACGTGAAAGCGATATTGCTGCTGAAATTTACAAAGTGAATCTTGGGATGTCAGCCTTGGCGGAAGGCAGTTCCACAGCCTTCCGATTTTATACATAAAGAGAGAGCAAGAGATGCGGCCATGAGATTTGAAAATTAGTTTGTTTGGTCGGCGGGCGCTAGAAGAGATATTGATGTCAAAGCGGGATAGATAATCTCGGTGCCAATGGATATACTTGAACGAAACAGTGATGGAAATGTAAGTGTGTAAAAAGCGAAGGGGTGCCAAATTACACAGCCTATTTCAATTATTCTTCGATTCATAGCTATCAAAATCACTCTTCGCAGACCGCGGCAGGCATCTGCAGACATTTGCTTGTAAAATGTCAAGCGATTCTAGCTGGCTAGCGGTAAGTCTGAAGCACCAGACAGGGATAGCATACTCTACTGTGGGTCGTACATATGACTGGTAGAGTAGGGCAATATATGCAAGCGATAGATGACGGCCCATAAAGCATAACACGTTTACACGTCGGCGAAACTTTTTGAAACATTTCGACCACAGGAGTGAAATGGTCTTGGAATTTAAGACTAGTGCTGATCTCTACGCCTAGATGGATTACGGTACGTTTAACATTGAGTGAGACGTTGTCCATTTGGAGAGACGAAGAGGGTGGAGGAGCATATTTGGAGAATATGGTGGTCTTTTCCGCTGGAAACACCGCATGAATGCCTCTAGCCCAGCGCTGGCAACTTGTTAAATCCATCTAGAAGTTGGCCAGATTCTCACCAACAGGTAAACCGATGTCATGGGTGTTGAGCAGTGTAACATCATCAGCAAATAAATAAGGGGCGCTGTGGGTCAATGTGTCGGGAAGGGTATTGATGTAGGTTAAAAACAGCAGGGGTGCAAGATGTGAGCCTTGAAGAACACTACGACTCAAAAGATATTAGGGGGAGATCGTCTCCTTAATCTTGACAGCTATCGTTCTCTGATTGAGGTAGCATTCAAACCATTTCAGTGAGTGCGTTCGATTATGCACGCGAACCATTTCGCGAATCGATTCATGAATCGATTCGCGCTATTCACATCACCCCATATGAATAGAGTGAATCGATTCCGAATCGATTCTAGGGCTCATGACATGAAAATCGAACGACTTGAATGCATGCGAATGGATTCATGAATCGATTCAAGTGTGTAATCGAACGCACTCACTGAGTTTCGAGTGATAAAAGTACTAATCCTCTCAATCAGTGTTGGATGATGGACCTTATCGAAGGTTTTCCTGAACTCCAGAAGTGCACAATCATATCTGTTGTGTGTTGTCCGAGAAACCAGCCATCTGGTGAGACAGCAGGATAAGTTGGTCCGTTCCTGATCGCTGTGGAACATTGGCAAATTGGGACGGTGATGCCAATTTGTTTCTGTAACACACATCTGCTAGTCGTACTGTCTTTCCTCTTACATGTCTGTTCACGTCAATCACAGCGTTTTCCTTTTCATATGGAGCTAGTGGATAATGTTTGCTGCGTTTAAAGGTGCTTAAATTAAGGTGGCTGGGGCGGCACAACCTTTTGGGGAAATGTTTGACTGCATTTTTGAGTTTATCGGCAAGGCAGAGATGAAATTTGAACATGTGTTCTGGTGAATATCTGGAAAATAGCCTTCTCTAGTTTCCTATAGTTTTAGTTTTACTTTTGGACAAAATTTAAAAACGTTTTATGAAAGGTTTCACGGACCTTTCATGAACCTTTTTCAAATTTTGTCCAAAAGTAAAACTAAAACTATAGGAAGCTAGAGAAGGCTCTTCTCCAGCGATTCATCAGAAAACATTTTCAAATTTCATCTCCACCTTGCCGATAAACACAAAAATGCAGTCAAAATGTAATCACAATGACCCCCAAAACGTTGTACCGCCCTAGCCACCTTAAGCTGGAAATTTCAAGTAAAGCATGTTTTGTCATCGCAAAGCAATTTTGATCCATTCCGTTCTCACGGAATTATAACTCTCTCAAATAGAGCGGTGAATTTCTATGCTAGTGCTAATCGCCCCTATTCTCGCACCACAGTGCCGACAACTGAAATCCGACCCCTGATCGCAAAGATCCAACATGGGATGGTAAAACTGCGGACCAGAAACCACTAGAATTTGGAGGCACCGCTAATGGTTGGATTTCAGTTGTCAGCACTGTAGGTTTGGCTTTTTGCAGACCTACACTGCGTTTGCCTTGTTCGCTTTCGTACACGATTATGTGGTGTTGTCACTGCTACAATGCCCCGGTAGTAGTTTGCCAGAAAAACAAAGATCAGCCTGCCAAGACCAAAGCTATTAGGTGGAGTGGATCTTTGGTCTTCAAGTCCCAGGCAGATGACACATGGCTAGTGACTTCATCTTTAGCTGAATCGCCTGTCTGGTAGTTGATAACCTGAGGTGGGAAAAACCAGAAGAAATATCGGACGAATTCCGATATCTGTCTGGAATAGTCCTTGTATGTTTGATCTACAGACGAAAAACTCACGCTTTCGAGTGGAACTCAGCTAGCGGCCGAGCTTTTCACATCTGTAGGAGCGCCACCACACTCATGGATCAGGGCGCAGAGGGCGGCTCCTCAAGCGGTGAAAGCAGAGGAAAAGGAGAAGTAAAATCCAGGATATTACATGCCATATAGTCTGATTTTGCCAATTTCAATGCTTTTTCATCAGATTATGCCAGATGTCCGAGAATTATCTGTAAAAGACTAGTTGTCGATGTGCATTCATGCTTTAGGTTGCAGTGAAGCGGGCAAATCCGTTAAAGTCGGCGGCGTTTGCTGAGATCAACAGAGAGCTGCAAGCGTTAAGCATACTAAGGCACCCTGGCATTCCACAGCTATTCGAAGCGTACCAAACTAATTTCGGCTATTTCCTGGTGATGGAGTTAATCGAAGGCGGTAAGATAACACTTGGTCAATGCTGTGGTCGGCATGTCAGTAACTACTATGCGTCATTATGTCATAAAATCGCTCAGAGCATGGTCAGTGAATCACAAAATCACCAAAGCCACTTAACGTTGTAAAATGTTTTTATGTGCGTCCTGGAATGTTCCAGAAACCTTATACAGCACGGCGAATAGCGTATGGCCCGGCAGCGAACCACTGGCCTCCAAGATTTTCATGCAGTTAGCCGATGTCCTGCACTATTTACACTCTTCTGGAGGAGTACACAGGTAAGAAGAAACGTGTGCTGACATTTTCTTCTCTTGTTGAAACCTGCGCTAATGCACTAAATTCAGACCTAGGAGTCACATTAAAAAACTAACACAAATTATTAAAATGTAATACAACATAACATTGGAGAAGTAAACAGGAAAATGCATGTATATTAACAAAGATTTTCAAACCCAAACCGAACAGAAACTTCAAATCATAAATTTATTTAGAACGAGGTTTGTCTCGTGGTCCAGGAAACGACCAATCAGCGACATTCCCGCCAAGGGCCTTATCAGAGTTTAAAGCCCGCTCAATCGTTATTTTACTACTCTTGATGACGCGTCGAGGGCCTTGGATTAGTTTAAAGCCCGCTGAATATACTTGAAACTGGTGCGTACAACTCCCTGTATGCATTATAGTACGGTGCAGATAATGAACTCTGCATAAAATGTACGGTGTACTACTAAAAGCTACGCATTTCAGAAGTGTGTACGGTTTTTGCCTCCCGTATTCTTTCATCTGTACGAATTTCCTTTGTCAACAGCTTGCGGAAACCTATAAATACCGAAGATCAAAGTCATCAGAGGTATCGACAAGGGGCTCTCAAAGCCCCTAAATAGCTCCACAAGCTATGAATAAGAATGAAGCTCACAATAAGAGCCCAGCTTTTCATTTGCTTCTGTTCTACTTTTAGTAGTATTCTTTCATGCCACACCAAGTCTCTCTGTACATAAACCACAAAACTACCCAATACAATGGTACACAAGCATAATGGAAGTGGGATAATGCATGTAACCTCGTTCTAAAATAGTTAGTGCATGGCAGGGAGGGTCTTATGGCTTGTTTGTGCCCTTCAGGGTAGCCCTCGGGCCTACGGCCCTCAGGCTAACCCGTCGGGCACTAACAAGCCATAAGGCACTCCCTGCCATGCACTAACCTATAATTAATAACATTCAGGTACGCTCGGTCCTGGTTTAAATCAGGCTTTGGAAAAAATAGTATTCATTGCTATCAGGTTCGGCCTCATTTCCTCTGCACTGCTCTGAGGAGTCCACAAAGGTGGAAACAGTTCTATGTGCAGATTGAGTAATTGCAAATTATTATCAGCGAACTGAATCACTGAACTCAATTCAAAGTAGAAAAGCAAAAACTAAACTAAAACAAAAATAACCACTGAGCCACAGAAGTCGTGTGGAATGTTGCTTTGCGCCCTTGAATCATAGTTTGACCGTATTGTCCAATAGTCTTGCCTGTATCGTCTTCGACATGCATGGGCATCCGCCAAAGTCCTTCACATCTGAGACTTTCAGCTCCACGCAGGGGATCAGCGCGCAAGCTCGCGATGTCCCAACCTCCGGCTCTTCCATGATCTACAAATTATATGTAGTCACAAGCGATCTACATGCTTGCTTGCTGTGTTCGTTTATCAATCTTGCGAGTTCGTTTGTTCATTTTCAAATTTTTCGAACAAATATTCGAACTTTCTTTCGTTCGTTCACCCCTAGTAAAGTTTATTGGAAAGGGAAAACTATTCCTCTACTTCAATAGATAGAGTACGACTAGATTTCAGGCATGACCCAGAGGGGAGCCGTCTGTCGAGGGGTTTTTCACTTCCACGATATTGAATGGGTAGCATAACTAGCGTAGCTGTAGGGGGGGGGGGGGAGGGACTAGGCCTTGACAGATTATGCTAGCATAATTTTTCGCATAATTCCTACCAAAACCGAATAATCGCATAATTCGAGGCAAATTGCATGCGAATCGCATAAAATTGGAATAATCCGCCTGTTCGCATAAAATTCCATACAGTTGTACATGTTCTACAAGTACAAGTACAAGTAGATGCACCAGGAAGTCGTAGGTTTACGACTCCCTTGATAACATGTCCAGTCCACTATACTCAGTGGCGGTTGTAGCTACATGTACAATGTCATGTACATGTAGGTCGGACGGTGCGTTGACCCCGTTGATCTTTTGCTACTACAGTACAACGCCCTCTACAAAAAAATTCCCCTGTTATTTTGCACAGAACCATTATACATTAGCACCATATGTGAGCATAATGCGGCATAATATGATAACTTTTAGCATACAAAATTTAATAGCATAATTCTGCAATTTTTTCAGCAATGCGAAAAGCATAATTTCACGAAAATATTAGCATAATCTGTCAAGGCCTAGGAGGGACTAAATGGATCAAGTGTATTGCATATCTAATGGGAGGGTGTTAAATCGATAACGTGAGCCATACACATAGAATAAGACCATGAAAGAACAGTGCATAATGGCTTATCGAGAACAAAAAATTATACCGATGGAGGATATGACATCTGTAGGTGCCGTCCCTAAAATCTCACCCCACGGATTTTCTCTTTCGAAAACTTAACCCTGCTCTCTCCGGAAAAACTGTCCAAGTCTTGGCGAACGAGCAGCAAGACTGTGCATAAATGTTAAGCCTCGTGTGGTTCATCTTTTGCTTCATGCCTCAGGGATCTGCATGCTCGCAACATCATGATCACGCCAAAAGAAGAGGTAAAGCTTATAGGTGAGTTCACGCAGCATGAACGTGAAGCAACTTGCAAGAATGAGTATTTATGCGAAGTGTATCGGGGGAATGCATGCATGGCAATAGTGCGGGTGCAAATCCTAGGAGAAATGAAAAAATGTATAACATCCCTATGCTTTTAAAACACCAACTAGAGATTTTTTTAGGATACCCGTAAGGAGACCATAGGTCTGCGGGGACTGCCCTCGAGAAATATGAATAAATACTATACTACAGTATACTACTGGTATGACTACGATACTAATTACGAGCTAAAATTCCATTTACTTGCAGGATGTCCTCTTTGCAGAGACAGCAGAACCAAATGAAACACATCCTCCATGAAACAGATCTATTTGTTTGCAGTCGAGTGATGTTAGGGGCACGACCCGTTTGCATATTTCCCTCAGCCCACCACCTAAATTATCACTTCCGCTAAAGTGAGCATTTTTCTCTGTTGCAGATTTTGGGCATTGCCTGAAAATCGATGATGTGCGTGTGAAAAGGATGGGCGGATATAGCAGCAAGAAAGCTCCAGAGAGGATGTTTGAGGATCGTCCGATGGGAGCCTCCGGGGAGGTATTTAGTCTGTACGTTACGAGGCCCAATACCCGAGCCCGATACAAATCTGGCATCTCTCTCTCTCTCTCTCTCTCACTCTTCCCACTTCGTCCATTCATAAACCTACGTCTCTTCTGTGTCACATTATAGTGGAGTGGGACTTACATTGCTTTCAAAGACTTATCCTATTGCGCAGGTGCAGGTTTTGCGTCTTGGGAGACCGTTAGAAGTGTTTTTTTACTACTTGTATGTTCACATTCCCAACTCGTAACTAATAACGAAAGACAATAGTACTGAGACTAGGACAAACGTGACAACTACTGAGCAGGGGCTGGACTGAGACGCAGCAGGGATGGTGCGGCATTGATGGCTCTGCCGACCTGAGGTCTCGGCATCACGGCCAAAAACACGCACAATGATGATAAGGCCATCTCCCCATAACAAGGCAGCGGTTTTTCTCGACTCTCTTTCTCTCCCTCTCTCTTGCTGGTCATTTCTATTGCTTTTCTCGATTGTCTGAACGTTTCCACGTCGTGCTAAATGATGTGCAATATTGCAGAGGGAGGTTGATGTACAAATACATGTGTGACGGCACCGAACCATTCCCAGACGAGGAGAATGTTGTCAAGCTGATCAAAGTGATGCAGGCTCCACCACGGCAGACATACCCATTCCGACGCCTGTCTCCAGGTAAGTGTGTGTGAATAAGAGAAGTATTATCGGATACTGAGCCATTAATTATGATTATTATTATTATTATTTTAATAACGAAGGTACGTGTTGGGTCGTAAGTAGCCACGCCAACACACATCCAGTCAAAATAAGGCACTTGTTATAATTACTTCAGTATTTCGATATTTTGACAAGTGCCTTATTTTGACTGGATGTGTGTTTGAGTGGATACTTACGACCCAACACGTATCTTCGTTATTAAAATCTTATCCGCCCCCGACCTCTTGTAAAAATTATTATTATTCTTATTATTTTAATATGGCAATAAGTAGGACGAGCTGAAGCGACATGTGGACTACTTTATTAACAATGTAAGCGATGGAGACGATGCAAGAAACAACCTAAAGGGTAAGGAAAAATACATGTAAGAAGAAAAAGGGCAATGGAAAAAAAATGATTCGAACAAGTGTTCGTACAACACTTTTCAGGAATCACCGTTGTACTAAAGAACAAAATGAGAACAAAGGAAATAATATAGCAATCAAGGTAGGGTGACACGATACAATGACAGCACTGGAATATCGAGTTGCGAGTTCTCACAAACGTGTGCAGAAAACAAGGGTATACAAGTAAGAACTAAGCGTGACAAGTGTGTATCAGCAACAAAAACAGAAAAGTGAGAACGAATGATAATAATAACAATAATAAACAAGAAGGTGACAAAACACATTTAGGCACAAGTGGCAACAACGTTGCCACACTACACAACAGAACATTATTTGAACAAATTTAGGGTAATAACACTATCTTTCTGGACACACAAATTCGGCTTTCGAATGCGCTGACAAACAGCTTCCAAAACTTGTAACTGCAAAAGATAACCATGACGAGCACGGCACAAAACAGAAAAACAGGAATCGGAATAAGTACGACAACAGTCAGTACTAGAAACCAAATGATTGTATACTGAAGACTTGTTATTACGAGACAGACGCACACAATCTCGACTCACGCGCACACCCTCACACTCACTCTCACCCTCACTCAGCTCAGCTTCTCCCTCACTGTCCAAATCAGAACCTGCTCCGTCATCCACCGCGGTTTGACTCTCCTCCTCACTTGCATCGTCCTGCGTCTCACCTTCACCACCCACGCCAACCCTGAATGCCGTTGCCTTCACGTCAGTCGTCGTCCTTTCAGATTGTTTCCTTTGTATTTTTACCGTGAATTCATAGGTCCGGTTGTAATCTGCTGTAGATCTCCGTGGTCTGTCATTTGCTGCTTTGTTTTGTGGATTAGTTGTTGTTGTTGTTGGCTGTGAACCTGGTGTTGTTGTTGGATGTGAAGCTGGTGTTGTTGTTGCAGCCATGTCACCCTACCTTGATTGCTATATTATTTCCTTTGTTCTCATTTTGTTCTTTAGTACAACAGTGATTCCTGAAGAGTGTTGTACGAAAACTTGTTCAAATCATTTTTTTCCATGGCCCTTTTTCTTCTTACATGTATTTTTCCTTACCCTTTAGGTTGTTTCTTGCATCGTCTCCATTGCTTACATTGTTAATAAAGTAGTCCACATGTCGCTTCAGCTCGTCCTACTTATTGCCTTATTAAAATTATTGTCTCCTCGTCGAATTTTTAAATTATTATTATTATTATTATTATTACACGCATTCCCGCTTTGAAGTGTAGCAGCAGTATGCCGCGTCCACAGCTTCGCTTATGCAGAAAAAATCATTGTGCCACAAAACCAGTACACAGGAGATCTGTCGACAATGTAACGAAACATATAACTCAGTTACTCAATACTGGTTCCACTAAATTACATTAGAACGAGGTCTGTCTAGTTGTCCAGGAAACGACCAATCAGCGACATTCCCGCCAAGGGCCTTATCAGAGTTTAAAGACCGCTCAATCGTAATTTGGTTTATCGGGTGTTAGCGGCCGTCGTGAGTTCCCTTCGGGAACGGACACGATAATTTACTTTTTTTACTTTAATCGTAATTTTACTGCTCTTGATGACGCGTTGAGGGCTTTGGATTAGTTTAAAGCCCGCTGAATAAACTCTAAACTGGTGCGTACAACTCACTGTATGCATTATAGTACGGTACAGATAATGAACTCTGCGCAAAATGTACGGTGTACTACTAAAAGCTACGCATTTGAGAAGTGTGTACGGGTTTTGCCTCCCGTATTCTTTCATCTACATGTATAAGATTTTCCTTTGTCAACAGCTGGCGGAAACCTATAAAAACCGAAGATCAATGTCATAAGAGGTATCGACAAGGGGCTCGCAAAGCCCCTAAATAGCTCCACAAGCTATGAATAAGAATGAAGCTCGCAATATGAGCCCAGCATTTTATTTGCTTCTCTTCTACTTTTCGCAGTCCTCAGTTGTGCTGAGTTACCATAACTTACCAGAAGAAAATATTTTTTCATACCACACCAAGTCTCTCTGCACACAAACCACAAAACTACCCAATATAATGGTACAAAAGCATAATGGAAGTGAGATAATGCATGTAACCTCGTTCTAAAATAGTTAGTGCATGACAGGGAGGGTCTTATGGCTTGCTTGTGCCTTTCAGGGTAGCCCTCGGGCCTACGGCCCTCAGGCTAACCTGTCGGGCACTTACAAGCCATAAGGCCCTCCCTGCCATGCACTAACCTATAAAGAGAACAACGCTACAGCGTTAGAATTGCCGCTAAATTATCGCAAGTGTAAATAACGAGTCCCATACAAATGAAAACCATGAACAGACTGTCCCGAAGTCATTTAGGGACTACATGTACTTGCTGACTGACACTGACGCTGACGGAACACGAATTTGAGTTGAATACGCACGAAGTCTTGTACATGTACATCATTATGCGCCGGTGTTGTGGAGTAAGCAGGTACGTCAGTCACCAATCCAGCTTCAGCTCCGCGTTGCCTTCAGCAGACTGTTGCCCGCGTTTGCTTTGCCTCCACATGGATAGACGACCAGCGCAGAGTCCCGCAGCTCCGTGGCCGTGAAGTCTTGATATTCGCCGTTAGTGCCATCAGGTCTCAGTCCACCTCTCACAGCAAGCCGCTCCATGAAAATCTTTCTCTCTCCATTGGAGTGCTCCTCCGGTTGCGCGACGAGACTCAACCAAACGATTAATAGATGTAAAATATCACAAAGAACGGAACAGCATGCTGTCCGCAGATTGAGTATATAAGTGACATGAGATCTTATGTTGCTAAAATTCAACTCAAGTCGTGCTAGCCATTCTGTGAGTTATCATGGGAAGCGCAGTGTTCGAAATGCTAAAAATATCCAAGTACGAATTGGGAGTAGTCGGCGCACGACGCCGTCTCCTGTTCACACTCGAATTGCAGCCATTTTGTACGCTTGCGTCCCCGTCTACGCCCGTCTACGGTATGAAAAGTTGGATCGATCCAACTCTTCCCGTCGCTTCCCGATCTGTACGGTAGTACGGTTGCGTTCCCGTTCCTGGTGTTCACATTGGACGCCGTCAGACCGTCCCGTCGCTTCCCGTCGATCCGTAGGCCTCGGTCACACTACGGCAGTTTGAAGCTGGACGCAGCGTCAAGCCGCAGCACTTGACGGAGACGCGGGGTCACACAGTGTTTTGTTTTTTTTGCAGCTCATGACTGCCGCGGCTTGACGCATTTGTCTACGTCACAAAACCACCAGGAAAACTCAATGACGACACGGATTCCCACGGAAACCGGCCTTTTGCTTATTATACAAAAAAATTGTCGGACAAAGTTTTCGAATTTTTCATTGATTTTTGATTACAAGAAGACGAAAGGTACATGTATTAGGTCCACGCGTGCACGATCGTTGTTGTTTCTTTCCGAATTTGAAGCCATTTTCAGTTGTAGTGTCATTGATCAGGCAAGAAAAGTCCGCATCGCAGCTGTGTTTCTCCTGACTTCGTCATACTGGTTGTCCTTTTTGGGGCTCTTGACGACAACACAACACTCACAAGTCAACAGGCTCCAGTTGGCCGATGACCCACTCAAACAACTGGTCCTTTCTCGACATCATTTTCTTCTCAGAAAACGCCTCGCTCTTCCGCCAGGTTCGGAGCAGAGCAGCCTCGGCCTCGTAGGTCCACGGACTCATCTCGAACAAAAAGAGGGAACAAAACAAATCTTGAACAGACGAATGTCGAATAACTGCTAAACTCAAGCAAAGTGTCTTGAAACTAATTATTTTACTTGAAAGACACTGTTTTTCCGCCAAGCGTCACTCCCATCAGCGGCAACGCAGCCGATTTCCCCACGTCAGACGCAGCAGCGTCTGACGCTCAAATTTCCCGCGTTGCGTCAGTTGCCATGGAAAAGCTCATGATTCTGACGCTGACGCAGCATTTTTGCCGTAGTGTGACCGAGGCCTAACGTCGCGTCCCGTCGCGCCCCGTCGAATGTGAACTAGGCTTTATAAGGCACGGATCCCGTACGCAAACGTACGGGGATACGCTAAATATACGGTATAGTAGGGCATGATCAAGCTGTGGCCCTGTCCTCCTTCAGGGACCAGCTCAGCCTGGAAGATCAAAGGATCTTGGATCTGGCTGCGGAGAAGGGAGCCTCAAGTTGGCTCACGTGTCGGCCATTTCGCTGCTTTCAATTCACAATGCCAAAGTCGGGATTTTGCGATGCCTTGTGCCTCGGATACGTCTGGACCCCTCCCCGACTTCCAACCCATTGCGCCTGCGGCAAGCAGTTTGACACGACGAATGCTCTGTTGTGTCCGGTGAAATGTTCCCTCTTCGGTCGACCAACATCGAAGACCATGCTAGGCTGGATGTGGCAGCGCGGGGGTTGTATGGGAGTAGGTTTGAGAGGACAATGTTTGATGTTCGGGTGTTCAACCCTTTTTTCCCCTCAAATCGAAACCTTACACTCTCGTCTGTCTACAGAAAGCATGAGCAGGAGAAGCGGAGGAATTATGAGCGGCGATTTCTGGCGGTAGAGCACTCCTCCTTTGTGCCCATTGTCTTCTCCACCACTGGTGGACAGGGAA